AAAAAATAAGAACCAAGATGCATTATGTAAAGGTACAATTCCCAATGAGAAATGTAATTATGTTGTATACCTACAATGTACCAATAAAAGAATTTAATAAAGTGCAAAAAAAAAACCATGTACAGCTAACACATCTTAATAAAAAATTTTAAAAATTAAACAGGGAAAAGAAACAGCAGCAACTAAAAAATAATATTAAATAAAAACTAGAAGAAAAATGTGGAAATAACTATGTTCTAGAAACTTATATATTACTAAAAGTTGTTCAATAAATGAATAGGATTGAAGAGACCATAAATCATTGAAAATGGGCTTCTTAGACTTATGACTTTGGGGCAGCTACTCAGTTTCTCCCAGTTTGTTTTCTCCCCTGTACAATGGGAATAATGGTGTCTTCCTCAAGGAATCTTCTGTTTGATTGAAATATATGCATGGAGTACCTAGGACAGGGCTTGCCACAAATGGTTCCCAGCTTAATGCTATCTTTTATCATTTGAATTGCGAGGATATCCATTATATCCTTATGAATGAAAAACTGAAAAAATATTTTTAAAAATATTTATTAAAATTTATCAACATTAAATAAACCGTGGAAGATTTACACTCTCAAATTTGATAGTACAAAGGTAAGAATGTAGGGCACAGATGGCATGGGCTCCTGTAAGCCAGTAGTTGAGGAGCAGAGGGAACCTGTAGTTGGGGAGTGTTCCTGGATTTGCTTCGGTAAATTTCGGGAAGCAAGAATGGAGCAAGTGAATGTGGGGAAGTTGGTAAGATGGGCATGTTGGAAGAACATGTGCCTAGGAGATGTATTGAAAGTTTTTTTTATATATAAAGTTGAAATCTGCTGCTAAAGATGGCAGACCCAGATGTCCTCACCGAGATTCCAGCAGCATTGAAGAGGTTAGCCAAGTACGTGATCTGGGGTTTTTATGGCAAGGAGCATGTGTTAGCCTTGGACATCTTGATTGGGAACCCCTGTGTGAAAAAGGAGGATATGCTGGAGCTACTCAAGTTTGATAGGAAGCAACTTTGATCAGTTTTGAATAATTTAAAGGGAGATAAGTTCATCAAATGCAGAATGAGAGTAGAGACTGTTGCGGATGGAAAAACCACTTGCCATAACTACTACTTTGTCAATTATCGTACTTTTGTTAATGAGGTAAAATATAAACTAGACCACATGAAAAGGAGGATTGAAATGGATGAGAGAGATTCCACCAACCAGGATTCCTTCAAATGTCCTGTCTGTAGTAGTACTTCCACAGACTTAGAAGCTAATCAGCTCTTTGATCCCATGACAGGAACTTTCCGCTGTACATTTTGCCATACAGAGATAGAAGAGGATGAATCAGCGATGCCCCAAAAAGATGCACATGCACTTTTGGCAAGGTTTAATGAACAAATTGAAGCCATTTATGCATTGCTTCAAGAGACAGAAGATGTGAACTTGGCCTATGAATACTTGAGCCAGAACCCACAGAAATCTCAGCCCTGAAACAGAGCAAAGACCGAGCAGCCACTACTGCTGGAGCTGCTGGCCAGCCAGGTGCTCACCACTGGGAAGCATGGACCACCAGAGGGCCCTCCTATGAGGACTTATACACACAGAATAACATTAACATCATTAACATGGATGACCAAGAAGATGCTCATCCTGCCGCCCTGGAAGGGAAATCTGCCAAAGAGAGACCCATATGGCTGAGAGAGAGCACTGTCCAGGGGGCACATAGTTTTGAAGAGATGAAGGAAGGTGTCATAGATATGGATGCATTTCAGGAGCATAAGGAAGGCCATGCAGGGCCTGATGATAATGAGGAGGTCATGTGAGTGCTCCTCATTCACGAGAAGAAGACTTCCTCCACCACAGCTGGCTCCATGGGGGCAGCTGCTCCTATTACTGCCTCCAATCCCAGTGACTCAGAAAATGAAACCAGTGAGTCAGATGATGACTCTCCACACCAGCCAGCAGCTGCTGTGGCTATGCATCATCGAGAAGAGGATGAGGAAGATGACAATGAGTTTGAGGAGGTAGCAGATGACCCCATTTGCCATCCATTCTCCTACAGTGAAGTGAGCCAGCAGCCAGAGCTGGTGACTCAAATGACACCAGAAGAGAAAGAAGCACACATAGTGATGGGACAATGCATGTTTGAGGACCTCTTTGAATGAGCTTTCCCTGCCTTTTCTTCCTTTCTGTCATGCTTATTTCAAAAAGAAATTTCCTACCTTTGAAGAAAAAATATTTAAGTGGCTTTCTTGCTCTTGCTATAAAGCACCTGTTAATCTTCCACAAAGAATAATGGGAGGAGAAAAAAAAAGAATAATGGGAGAGAAAGTTTGATTTTAATGCCAGAACTTACCAGAAAGTTAGGTTGGCCATAAGCATCCCCTTCTCTACTATTATTACAGTACTAGTATGTTACTGTATTTCTTAATCTGATTTTTTCTTTCCTTTTTAAAATGAACTTTTCACCCTTCTGAGATGAATCAGGGAAGTAAATTCTTTTTGTCTACCTAAAGAAACCTACTACAATTAGTAAGGTAATTCACAGATAACATCCTTTTTATCTGTTCTTACCAAGGATTCCAATCAGTTCCTTATATTGTCCCCAGACAAAGCAGCTTGCTGATAGGCAAATCATTGGTTAGGGGGAAAGAATCTTAAAACTCCATATTTCCCCAAATTAAGATTGGGATCAACATGTAAAGGAGGTGAGAATGTGTGCAGAAGAGGGATGGATATGCCTGGACCTTATGATTAGTGAGTAAACCAGAATTTGTGTCTTCAGAATGGACCAGACTGGTAGATTCTGTTGTTTTGCTTAATACTTTTTGGTTTGGATTTTGGATGACACAAATCAAAATATGCTTCATAAAGTATTCTTTATGAAGAAATTAAAGAAAACACGGACACAGGACAAGGAGTCCAAGTAAAGGGTTGAAGAATGAAGAGCATTGGAAAGAGTGCCTCAGAACTGCCTGTGTCTGTTGTGTTTTGCAAGTCCTTTATGCAAACCTGAGACTGCCCCACCTCCACTATAGACTTCTTGTCAGTGCTATAAATTAAGGCGGCCATCCCAGCAGAAATCAGCATAGAACCACTGATCATCTCCCTCTTTCAACATCTTTTGAAGGCTTTTCTTTTTTTTTTTTTTTGGTCCCTTTGGGTCCTTGTCAGTCATGGTATTTTAGAGTGTATCCTATATATTGCTGACCATTGTAACTTCACGAAACACAGTTTGTTTGGGTTCTGATGCGTAGCATGATATTCCCAAACGCAGAACTTTAAAAATAAAGGACAATTGTATTTCTTACAATATTTTTCTTGCATCGTAATTTTTAAGTATTTATCATTTTGTAGTACATGTGTGAAATTAAGAAAGCATCTTAGAATATCTGAGCCTTGTATGGAGTGATGTTTCATTTTCTTGGGTGTATTAATGACTAAATATTGACAATAAATCTATTTTATACTAACTGAAAGAAAAAAAAAAAGAACATGGGCTTTTCCCCCCCGGTACTGGGATTTATTTGTAGAGAGAAAACAAGATCTTCTAGATGTCTTGTTTTATGTAAAAAACAAAAACACGACATTGCAGAATAATGTATATAAACTGATACTATGTTTTAAAGTGAAAAGGGTGATTTACCTGGCAACTCTGATGGCAGTGGAAGTCGATGCGGGTGGGTAAGGAAGAATTTTATTTGCATCCTTATTTTTGAATATTCATGGTGAAAATAATGGATATAGTGTCTAAGGAATAGAATTTAAAAATTTAAAACCATTTAAAAAATAACTAGATGGGGCCGGGGATTTAGCTCAGCGGTGCCACACCTGCCTGGCAAACACAGTCCTGAGTTCGATCCCCAGTACCCAAAACAAAAACAACTAGATCTTTCTGAAGTTTGCTAGGGAGGAGTCTGAGGGCAGTAGGCGACATCACCGGGCAGCCAACAGAACCTCCTCAAGCCCTACTCTGTCCTCCCTGCTTTGTAAGACTCCTCTCCAGCCTCACCGTGCCGCTAGTCACGTATTTCCTTCCCTTCTCCACGAACAAGACTTTCCTCGCCTCCATTTGTTTCCTTTTTGTTTTCCCCAGATTTTAAAGTAGATTCTTTCTCAAGCATTCAGACAACACAGAAACGAACTTACCCTTCTGCTCCGTATCCGCCACTATAACAAACGCATGGTCTTACTTCCTTCTCCTCTATTTTTTATTGAACAAGAAATAAGAGGCCACAAGATCAACACTAATAGTGCTTTGGAAAACTAAAGGAGAAAAGGAGCGGGGGAAGGGTTTTTGGGTTGCTGTTAAAATGCTGGTGGATCAACCTGCCCTCACAATTCTTGGAGTGCAGCTCTCCGCCTGAGCCCCCTTTGCAGAGCTCCCTTGACCTCTTTGTTGCGAAGACTGTAGATGAAAGGGTTCAAGGTCGGTGTGACCACGGCATAGACCACACTGGCCAGGCGGTCATAGCGCGCAGAATAGGCAGAGGACGGTCGGAAATAGACAGAGAGCACAGAGCCAAAGAAAAGCGACACCACCACCAGGTGAGAGCCACAGGTGGAGAAGGCGCGGCGCCGGCCCCCGGCTGACCGCACTCCGAGCACCGCCGCCAGGATGCGCGCGTAGGACAGGGACACGAGGAGCAGCGGGGTCAGCACCACCGCTAGGCCCTCGGAGAAGATGGCAGTCTCCGCGAAAAACGTGTCCGAGGTGGCCAAGCTCAGCATCACCGTCATGTCGCAAAAAAAGTGGTGCACGCGAGCGCAGGGCGGGTAGGAGAGCGCGGAGATGAGCAGCGTGTGCAGCAGCGAGTGCAGATGAGCCACGGCCCAGGACACCGCCACCAGCGCGGCGCAGCGCCCGGAGGTCATGACCGCGCTGTAGCGCAGCGGCCTGCACACGGCCACCGCGCGGTCGTAGGACATGGCTGCCAGGAGGTAGCTCTCCGCGATGCCCAGCGCCACGAAGAAGTACATCTGGGCAAAGCATGCCCCGAAGGACACGGCCTGGCCCGGGCGCAGCAGGCTGGCCAGCAGGCGGGGAACTGTGACCGTGGTAAAGCAGGCGTCCACGAGGCTCAGGTGACCCAAGAAGTAGTACATGGGGGAGCACAGAGTCCCGTCGCACCTCACCAGCACCACCATGCTCAGATTGCCCAGGGCATTGAGCAGGTAGATGCTGAGGAAGAGCAGGAACAACAGCGGGTGGTTGTCTGTGCCATCCATTAGGCCAAGGAGCAGGAACTGAGGGCCGCCTGTGAGGTTGGCCAGGGCCATGGAGCGTCGGGGTGGGTGGGAAAGCTGGGGCAGAGAGGCGGCAGAAAGGGCAGGTTCCCGAGCCCAGGCAGGCCTCCCTATAAGGCAGGTTCCACGTATAATGTTATATGTACAAGAGCTGCGCAACATGTATGGTGCGTTTAAATTAAAGAATCTATTACGGTAAAAGATTGTCATTAATCACCCTCAAAATACTCCCCCTTGCTTTGAACATACTTATCCCATCATTCTTGCCACTTTCTGAAGCAGTTCTGGAAGTCCTCTTTCAAGAATTGTGATTAAAAAAATATGATGAATGCTGCTGCCGAGCACCACCCAAGGCAAGTCAGGCTCATAAAAACATTATGGTGTGTCCTTATCCACCCATTTACCAGATCTGGTGCTACGTGACTTCTGGCTCTTCCCCAAAGTCGAAAGGAAAGGAAAACATTTTGAATCAATTGAGATCATTGAGATAGTTGACAGTCCAACGAAAAACACTGAGGACTTCCAGAACTGCTTCCGAAAGTGGCAAGAAGGATAGGTAAATGTGTCTGAAGGGAGTGGGGAATATTCTGAGGGAAATTCATAGCAATATATATGTCTTTTATTATAATACATGTTTTTGAAAAAATTAAACATTCACTGTATTTTTATCACACTTTGTATTATATATATTTATATTTCTGCTTGCTAAAATGGATTGAAAACTTCATTGCTCATTGAGTCCTAATTTAGGGAGAAACTGAATTTCAGAAGGGTGTTCTAAAGTAATGGGTAAATCTCAAACTTTGAAGTAGGTTAGACATGATTTTGAGTCCTGCTGTTCTGCAAAGGTCGTGTGACTTCCCTGAGCCTCACTTTCTTCATCTTTAATGAGGGAAATACTAATAGCTAACCCTGGAGTTGGTTATGAGGAGAAAAGGAATAATTACTTTAAAATACTTAGCACAGTGCCTGGCACATAGTAAGTGCTCAAAACTTCTGTCTTTCCATCATAGTCTATCATCATCTTTATTTGTTTAATCAAATAATTAGGGGCAGAGTTAGGACCCAGGCTATCTGAATACCAGTCTTAAGTCTTCACTAGACTTACTGCATTTGCTATTCATTTTCACCTCACATGTGTACTAGTTCAAGAATCGACAGATTTTTTTCTGTAAAGGATCACATATTGAATATTTTAGGCTTGTGAGCCAGATAGTTTCTCTTGCAACTATTCAGTTCTGCCACGGTAGTGCAGAAGCAGCCATCTACAGTAAGTAAATGAATGGCCATGGCTGTGTTCCAATAAAAAGTGTTTATAGGGCCGGGATTTAGCTCAGTGGTTTCATCGCCTGCTGCACAAGCGCAAGGACCAGAGTTAGATCCCCAGTACCAAAAAAAAAGTGTTTATAATAAACAGGTGGCGGGCTGGATTTGGCCTGTGGGACATGGTTTGCTGCCCCCTTGTGCTGTATACTGTGTGAGGCAGAGAGATGAATGAGTCTTAGCTTTGGCCCTCTGTTCTGGAGCAGCTTGCACACTGTTTGGCACTTTGTTAATTTTATGAACAAAGTGGGAGTAAATAGGTTTCTTGGAAAAGCTTGGGAAGACTTCAAAGAAGAGTTAGGACTTGAATTGGGTCTTGGAGAATGAATTCACCTAACAAATGTGCTGTTTGGGGGAGGGGAGGCAGTCCAGATAATGAGACAAGACTGCGGGGTTCTTGGTAGAGGAGGCATAGAGTGAGGAGGGTGAAACATCCTCATAGGACACTGGGTAAAGGTTTGTCATTGCTCTGACCTTAGTATATAAAATCAGTTGGACATAAAACTTCTAAATGTCTCAGTTAACTGACTTCAGTGACCCTGGAAACTGTGTATGGTACTCATTTTGTCTCCCATTTCCTCTCTTCCTTAAAATGCCACATTCTTTTCTCTCATTTCTCCCAAGATTGCAGAAAAATGTTCTACTATTAGGCTCACCTGCACACCCTTTTACAGGGAAAGGGTAAGACTTTGGTGAGATTCTAGAGAATGGACTAAGTCAATTCCTAGCAGAGCATCTCCTTGCAGGAGGAGCTGCATCTCACTGTCTTGTCCAGTGATCTGCACACAAAATTTATCCCGAAAAGGTTTGTTGAATGAAGCTTTTGAAGAGCATGAATAGAAACAGGTGTAGGGAGGATAAAGGAGACAGAATGATGGGCAAAGTCTTCCAACTACACCAGGACAATCCCCATGTGTACCCTGTTGTCATTTTTCTGCTTCTCTGTAATTGTCAGCCATTACCTGTCCCAGGGAAATCACCTGCTAGGCTCCTGAAAACCCCATATCTTGCCCCATTATAGAATAGTAGCATGGAAGAGCTAGTACCGTGGTACTTCTCCAATCCATCTTATCCACAGTTCAGGATTCTCCTTTGCAGAGCCTTTGACCTTTATTTCCCAATCTCTCCTTAGGCATCTGAGTGATGCAGTGGAAAGAGCACTTGCTGTGAAGTCAGAGCTACCAGGGCTTTAATCCTAATTGGCTGTATAATCAGGGACCCTCCTTCATTTAATCTCCACTCTCCTCATCTAGCTGGGTCTGTGCTATGTAAGTTCCCAGGGGCAGTAGAATGGCTCAACCTTAAATTCCTACAATTTGTCGAGTGTTTGGTCAGGGGCAGGCATTATACTGGGCACTATCGCTGCAGAGATGAGTCAGCCATTCTCCTTGACCTTCAACCATGCAGAATGGAATATGCATTATACCAACTGCATAAATAGAGTAAGAGAAATTTCCTCTGCTTGCCTGATTTGAAGAAGATTCCAAAGGAAAGGTGAGATTCTAATTGGATTTGGAAGAATGAGCATGAGATCACCAGAAACCCAGAGACTTGGGATGGGAAGGTTATTGCTTTTAGAGAAAAGAGAATTTAAAGACACAGAAAGATAGCTTTGGGGGAGCAACAGAGCTGAAATGTGGCTTCTTTTTCCTAATGCTGTGCAGAATGGATGGAGATAGGATGGGGAGGAAGATAGGATACACGGCAAGAAAATAGCAGAGGAGTTTTAGATTCTCTCACCCTCAGGGAAGCATGCCAGACCTCAACGCTGCCTGCGCAGTTTGGCTGGTCTCCTTCCTGGCCAGAGGCCTGCAGTCTTGAAAGCAGATACATTGCCACCCATCTCTGTCCAGAGAATTCTGTATGCTTTGTGTGGCCTGGGATAACAGCTGGAGAGAAAGAAAACCAGCGCTACAAGAACCCTGGGAATTCCCAGGCCATGCTTTTTCTACCAAGCATTACTGCCTGGCTAGTCTCCACTGCCCAGTGATATAGTGCAGACTGCTCAGCACCCAAAGCTTTCCAACAGGGCTCCCAGCATTTCCTCCACTCTTACCTCCAACTGCTTCCACAGGCTTCCCCTTCCCCTACCCGTCAGATTGGCCTTTGCACTGCCTCTTAAACCCTTCTCACATGCCTTCTCTAAATACTCTTCCCTACCTGGGTCGCTTTTCCTTCCTTATCCCAATTTCATCCCTGACTCCATACCCTTTCTGGACTTTGGTAGTCCATGTGGCTGCTTCTCTCTTTTAACTCTCACTTGGAACTCAACCCTCATTTCCTGAGATTAAAGTGACTTTTTCTGCTGTGATGTTCATGTTCCTTGAGAGATGAACAGTCTGAGGGATAAATATCTAGTTGTCTCTTCCCATCTGACCTTTGGGCTTACAGAGGGCTTTTCCCAAGTCTCCTACCATCAGAGAAAGCTCTGCCAAGGAGGTGGCATTTGAGTATGGCAAGCTCAAAAGTATTCACAGGACAGACAAGGGTGGAAGAATTTTAGGAAGAAGGAACATTTTAGAGAAGTTCCTTAACCTATTTGGGCTGCCTTTTTTTCTCTAAAAGTAGGATAACTATACCACTGACTTAGCAAGTAGTAGGTGTTAATAAACATCAACCCTGCCCCCACCTCCTTACTACTTTGGGTGATGGGGAGAGATATTGCCTGGGTTTATGTTGGCTCCCTGTGAAGCTCCTGGACCAGGACTTGGTTCTCTGGATGCTGAACTGCTGCAGTTGTTTCAAAGCCCTTTCCTGGGGCCTAGATGTGGCAGGTACTTCTCTGAAATGAGTAGGAAGGATTTATTTAAGAAAGCAAAATGAAGCAGGGATTCATAAGATCTTGCAGCCCTATCTCCTAGGCATCTTGCTGCCCTAGACTCTATGTAGGAGTCACCTGTTTAGCAAATACTCAGATACACCAAAACACAGAAGTACACAGGGACACACCTGAACAAACCCCAGACATGCCCTAATACATCCAGACACATGGACATACTGGGAACACACACTCCTTAGGGCAGGAACACACACACACACACACACACACACACACACACACACACACACACGGACTCTCATAATCACTAACACGTAAATTACCCAAGCATGAGAGAAAACAGCCATACATGCTACATCCACATGGACTTAAAGACAGACTCCCACAAATGACAGAGACATCGAGATCTCAACAGATTCTCCCAGACACAGATACAGCACTGATCTACATATAAGTGTCCACTCGCCAACTCCCTCCTTCCCCTCACGTTCTCTTGCCTTGGGTCTGTCAGCCTTAATAGAGTGGGGAACAGACAGTGGTAAGCAGAGGAAACCATCTCTAACTACTAACACTCTCAGTCCTGGGGGTTTTATCCAGTACTTTGAGTCCAATCTCTTCCTGGTCAGTCCAGATTCTTCTCTCACTGGGGTCCCAAAGTGATTTCTCTTCAACAACAACTTTAAAGCAAGATGAGCCCTTTCTTTTTTTTTTTTTTTATAGCAAACTTCCATTCTGTGGCTCCTTTTTTCCCCTTAAATTCTTTTATTGGCACATTTTAGGTATATACATTTACATTCATCATTGGGAGCTTGTACCTTTACATGATGCATCTTGGTTCTTATTTCCGCCCCCCCTTCACCCCCTCCACCCCTCCTTATTTGCAAAGACTTTGTTTCCATTTTTTCCTTTCCCTTCTATCCTTTCCCCTACC